AGCCGGAGTTGGAAGTCACTACCCGCAGCTTCGCTGAGTGTGCTCGTGAGAGACTTTCCCCCTGAAATCTTGAGTAGAGGTCCTAACGGATCTCTGGATTGTGTTTGTGTAGTTTCAGGTGTGTGTGTGTGTGTGTGTTACGCTGCACTGTGCGACCTCCGAGTGCGCTCCGAGTGGACAGAAATACTGCAAACTTGCAGTATTTCTGGGAGTGACAGTCGCTTGAGAATTCAAACTCCTCAATAGTTTGTTAAACGTGACACTTTGTACCCTGTGTGTTCCTCTGTCCCTGTGGGTTCGACCTTTCTACCACTATATTGCAGTTTTAGCCTTTAGTGGGTTATTACAGAGGCTGCAGCGGTGCCTTCGCAGGCAGCACACGTCGACGACGTGCAGCTCCACTCGGGACAGTCGCCAACGCAATCAATGGCGACTGAAATCCTCCACTCGGATGATGACGACGGAGGCTCCACCGAAGCAATGTCGGGAGCAGGGGATACCAAGGAGGAGGAGGAGGAAATTGTTGGAGCGCCGGCGGCGGCGCTCTCTGAGCAGGTGATTCCGTTGCTGAGTTACTTGGATCGCAAAATCGATAAATACGCCGATCCACTTCAGCCGGGATCTTACATAGAATTAGTGCGCAGGCGGACTCGCACTAAAGTCCACACCAGCAAGCTACTAGCTAGGGTGGACCAGGAGTTGAGGGAATTGAAGGAGAGGCATGCCTGTTTATGGGGGCAGTACAACCTTGAGAGGAAATCGCACGCCCTCGACAGGATGCGGAAGGATAGAGTGGAAGAGCTCACCAGGGATGTGTTGCAGACCACGCAGGATTTGATGTCTGAGAAAACTCAGAATCAGATTCTGTCAGAGGAGCTCGTGCGACAGACGCGGTTGTTGGCGGAGTGTCAGCTCGCACGGCAGGCGGATGAGGATTTAATCCGCAGACTACCGTCAGAGTGTGGCGAATTGAGAGCGCAGCGTGCCGAGGCCGAATCGCAGTTAGTGATAATTGAAGAGGATCGCAAGCGAGAGGCAGATCGCACGAAGGAGGAGACGGCGAGGCGTGTCGCCCACTATCTCAAGGGCTACGCCCACTGGGAAGTGGCGGCGCAGGAGAAACTCACACTACGTGAGTTTGAACTTCGCGCAGCCGGGTTGTTGACAGGCGACAGCAGGAGTCGGCGGAAGGTAGCGAAGAAGCTTGACGCTTTTCTGTCGAAGGCGCGGGATACCATGTCCACCCTCGAGGTGGAGGTGTCCGCGGCGTTGCAGCGGTTGGGACTGCGCAGTCGAGCGGAAGACTAGCAGGGTAGGGAGTTAGTGCGCGGCAGTCCGTCGCGCAGGAGACGTAGCACTGGTTCCGCGGAGTGTAGTGTAGCGTGGTTCCGTGCCGGCGTGTAGCGTAGTGCAGTGTAGTGCTAGTTAGGACTTAGAAGGTATAAAGTAGTTCAAGGCGTTTTGCCTTGGGTTCTTTCCCAATTTCGGAAGTGCAGATCAGGAACTCATTTTCTCTGCGTGTTTGTGTCCTTAGTTCTGTCACCACGCAAGAGGAGCTACAACTTGGCGTTCCGCATTTTGTAGCTGAAGGTCTTCGGCCGAATGTTCAGAGCTAGTACATTGGTTAGAGACTTGAGTAGTTCGGATCTACACCTGCGGGTGATTGCCGATGCTTAGAGCTAGTGACTAGTTAGATACTTGAATAGTTTCGCCCCTACACCTTCGAGTGTTTGTTCCTGATTGTACTCCTTCGGGATTTTTCCCCTGAATGCCAAAGTGAAGTTTTGTTACTTCGTGTAAGCCTTGGTTGTAAATTCAGGTTACGCTGCAGCAGGTGCCTTCAGGGTAACCCCTGTAGTATTTCTGGGAATGACAAGTGCCTAAGAATTCAAACTCTTCAATAGACTGTTGTTGTGTTACTGGAATGTTTCTCAGTGAGTCCTTCAGTGCGGACCTGTGTTCTCTGCGTGTTTTGTGAGTTGAGAGTATTGTTCACCGCGTATGAGTGACTTCGATCCGAAGTAGGCAGTCCAAACCGGGTTTCCTACGCTAGCAGCAAGCTAGTGGAAGTGTTGTAAAAGCCGGAGTTGGAAGTCACTACCCGCAGCTTCGCTGAGTGTACTCTTGAGGGATCTTCCCCCTGAAATCTTGAAGTAGAGGTCCTAACGAATCTCTGGGTTGTGTTTCTGTAGTTTCAGGTGTGTGTGTGTGTGTGTGTGTGTGTGTTACGCTGCAAAGTGCGACCTCCGAGTGCGCTCCGAGTGGACACTTGCAGTATTTCTGGGAGTGAAAATCGCCTGAGAATTCAAACTCCTCAATAGTCTGTTAAACGTGACACTTTGTACCCTGTGTGTTCCTCTGTCCCTGTGGGTTCGACCTTTCTACCACTATATTGCAGTTTTAGCCTTAAGTGGGTTATTACAGTTTGTGCGATCTAGTCCTATTCTGCATTTACAAGATCAGGCTCCCGGCAGACGCACCATTTTATGTGAGCCTAAACTCCCCACCCTTCAGCGTTTATAGTCCAGGTGGGGGTTTGAGCTCCCATAATCTAACTTCTCTGATCTCAACCATGTGGTCAAAGTGTATTCAAGACAATGAGATCATAAACACTTGCTCTTTCATAGACAAATTATCCAGAACTGAAAATAATAACTTGCTGTCTGCTATCTCCACAAGAGCAGCAGACAAGCTCTTTGTTACATAAAGATCTAACCCAACTCTGGGTGACTTTCTCAATACCACAGCCGCTGTGGTCTATCCTAGCTTTGAGTTCCACTCCCAATTCCTACTCAGATTTCAGTGTCAATTTCTCAGCTTCCACCTTCAGACCCCACCAGATTCCTCTCTCAGATTCAACTCTCCCTTTTCAGTTTCAAATTCAGATCCCGACTGTTAGATTTCAGTCTCAGATTTCGCTTCACTGACAGCTTCCATTCTCAGGTCTTCCACTCTGATCTCAGCTCTCACTCACAGATTACACTTCAATCTTGGATCCCACTCACAGATTACACTTCAATCTCAGATCCCACTCACAGATTACACTTCAATCTCAGCTCCCCCTCACAGATTACACTTCAATCTCAGCTCCCAATCTAATTTCACTCTCATATACAACTCACCACCCACGGGAGGTTGCTTCCTTCTACTTCAAACTCTCCACACAATGGCACACCACACAATCCTAGCTCGCAGGCCGAATAATTCTCTCCAACGTCCGAGGGCCGAGTCACCCACAGGCCGCGTGAATGCCGTTCCCGTGATGATGGGCAACGGCCTGATTCCCATGTGCGACTTCATGCCCCGCCGTCCTATTTCCACGCCTGACTTCACGCCGCCGCCACTGCCACACCTGTACAGTCTTTATTTATGACCACGTCAACATCCGCCGTCCGAAATCTTCTTCCGCGCACCGCCGAAGGCATCTCCCCGCCGAAGGCCCTCCATATCAGAAACTTCCGCCGCTCCTAACTCGATGATGCCTTATCCGTTTCAAGAGTTCTTGGTCTCGTTGGAACGAGCGTTGCGAGCTCCTTCCAACAAGATCCTAACTGAGTCAAGGCGTCACACATTGAAAACGTTATGAGAGTTTCACTTCTTCGCCGAAGGCCTTTTCCGAAGGGACTTCACCGAAGGCACTTCGCCGAAGACCTTGCTCCAAAGGCCCCCTTCCGCACCTTGTGCACCCTTACCATCACACCAACTCCTAATCTTGCCAAAACTTTCAGATTACCCCAAGCATAATTTTGCAAGAGCTTAAATTCAAACTTTTAACTCTCATAAGGGTAAAAAGACATGTGAGCACAGTTTTGTGCTCACAAGATGCTATAGGACATTTTATCAAACACTTATAGTCAAGTTTGATTCTAAGTCTCAAAAAAACTAAAGGCATTGAACCATTTTGTCAATTTTTAACGGAAAAAAACGGTATAAAAACAACAGACAGATAATAGAGAAACTCAAAATTTATGACGCTTAGTCTCAACCTACTTCACTTTAAGATTGCCGAAAAGGTCTTGAGTCTATCGACACCTTGCATACTTTGCAACGTGTAGTTTAAGACTCTCATTGATCAAAAGTCTCCATGACACTATCAAGAATTAACAATTGTTGGACCGTGATCGATTTTTGAAGAAATATCCGGTCAAATGCATGACATACGAAGAGATATTAGTCTAGAATGGATTATAATTTGTGTTTCAAATATCGCATGCTATTGCCTCCAGCTACTCTCCTGTAGTGACCTTCTTCCAACCTCCAAAGTTGAATTGGGAGTTACCAAGAGTTCAAACTACAACCGTCTACCACAAGATAGCTAACTTCACTGTCACGCGTGAAGGGGATTCTAGTTCGAAACTGAATGAGAATCTTCCGTCTCGTTTACAAGCTCTCAGCCTGACAGCAAAATCCGGTGCAACAGAGACTAAGTATCCAATACATGCTCCTTCTTACTAGCATCTACGTAACAAGAGAGTACAGTACATCAGTCTCATGAAGATATCAAAGTTCTATCCAGATATAACTGGAGACGTCAGGATCAGAAGATGCCGACATACCCAGAGGAGGACAAGACCAGCCTTATGAAGGAAGAGCTGACATAGAAGAAATCAGTTCATGACAACTCAATCCCTCATAAAGGAAACGAGAACACTGTTGCAAAGAATCATGAGTGGATAAAGAACCTTCCCCTACTAGATTTTTTATTTTTTTTTGTCTAATCATCCGAAACGAATATTCAGTGCACAGGAAGAGAAAGCTAGCAAACAGGAAAAAACAATTTGAAAAGCGCCAGATCGAAGGATGCTTTGAAGAGCCAGAGCGAGAGTGGAATGGAAGGCTGGAGCACCAGAGATAGCTGATCTGGGCCCAGGATGAGTCACACATAGTAACACTCTGGACGGGACTACAGAACAATCTCTGCGCTGCTATCACATGGAGTGATTGCGCTGCCAACTGTGATCACACCGACGAGTCCATGTATAAAAGCCCCTGCTTCGACTAGTTTCTCAGAGCAGTAGAAGTCGAGAAGTCTCTTCCGTCTCTTCTCTCTCTCCTTGCCCTCTGTCCTTCCTTAAAGAACCGCCAGACCACTACCTTTCTCTTCTCAACGACATCAATTTTATTCAGATTCTGGTAGTTGATCGTAAAATTTAAATTTTGTCAGCATGGCTCTCAACAAGATGGTTCTGGGCAGAACGGAGGCAACGGCTCCCGATGCCTTGAGGGCTGTTTTCGCAGAATTCATTGCGACGTTCCTCTTTGTGTTCATCGGTGTCGGCTCATGCATCGCTCATTGTAAGTGATTCAGCCGTTCTCCAAGATACAGTACTAAACCTCTCAGCAGCCGTTCGTTTTTCTGATTGTATGTCGACACAATCAGAGTGCTAACCTTGTCAGTAATTTTATTTCCTTACAAAACGGTGATACCTCTTATTATGTGATTGTTAACGTGGCCACCTGAAGCCGGTGACGTTCAACTTGTTCGCATTAGCCAGTTTCGAAATGCTGAGCATCTCTCCTGATGAACTGTACTGGGATATCTGTATCACAGTTACGGCTCGAGGTCTTCTTAGAATAACCTTCTCATCTCCAGTGATTAGTGAATGCGTTTTGTTGTCATAGACGAGCAAAATCATGATCCTGCAAGACCTCGTGCTAATGTAATGTGGCCCTGGGTGGTCATCGTACATTATTTGCAGCTAAGCTAAGCGATGGACCACTAGAAGCTGCTGGCTTGGTCTGTATCGCTGTCGCGCACGGTTTGGCTATTGCCGTCACGGTGGCTGCCACTGCCAACATCTCAGGAGGTCATGTGAATCCTGCTGTTACTTTTGGTCTTGCACTCGGCGGTTACATCACCATCATCCGTGCTGCTTTCTACTGGATTGCTCAGCTTCTCGGTGCAACTCTCGCTGCCTTCCTTCTCAAGGCCATCATTCTCACCTCTGGACTGGTAACACCACAAACCTTGAAGCCCTTCGTTTCCTGTTTTGATTTATGTCCGCTATACGACCTTTGCTCTTCAGTTTTCAGATGATGAGAATTTCCGGAAATGAGTAAGCTGATCAGGATAGATTTTTTTAATTATCTTGACAACGACAGAGCATGCCGATTCACGGTTTGGGAGCCGGAGTTAGCGTCATAGGTGGACTTGTTCTTGAGACTGTGCTCACCTTCGCGTTGGTCTTCGTCGTCTACGCCACCGCTGTGGACGGTAAGAAGGGACAGATCGGAATCATTGCACCGCTGGCCATCGGATTCACAGTGTTGGCCGACCACTTCATCGGTGTGCCATTCACCGGAGCATCCATGAACCCAGCTCGCTCTTTCGGACCTGCATTGGCCGCCATGGACTTCCACAACCATTGGATCTATTGGGTCGGTCCTCTGCTCGGTGGAGGTATCGCTGGTATCATCTACGACAGAGTGTTCATGACTACCATTTATTTCAGCCTAGCCCTCAATACGAATCCCATCTTTCTCGAGACCTCATCAGTCATTTATGAAGAGTCTGAACGCCCTCCCCAGTGTTAAACCACTGTGCCTCTGGAAATCACCAAACTGTCGACATCAACGAGTTCATAAGATGTGTCTCTGGCTGTGCATTCACTTTGTTTCGTCACTACAACTCCAGGACAGGTTCCTAAGGAGTTGTCGCGTGATTGAGCACACATGAGCACTTTGTTTGGTTGTATAGACATGTGTATAGATTGTAGAGATTAGATTTCCCATAAGACAAAGAATTCACAGTTTGAACTCTTTGGGTCTCTCTTTACTGTGACTTTTTAGTTTGGTCCGCTAACCGCTTGTGCACTTCTTGCTCTCCGAAGGACAGATGTATTTATAAAATCAGATTTTCTCCTGAACTTTGTTCACCACTTGCAGGATTCAATCAAAAAATATGTACATGTCTCCTTTCTTCGTAAGATGCCATTATACTCATATCGTGGTGTTTTGTTCCCTTCTTATGCTTGGAGTCTGGACTATGCATTGCGCAAACCATCACTGCCCCTTACTAAACAGAGGTAATTTCCAGGATCAGCTGTATTCAGTGATACCTCTTAGTATTAGATTTATCCAGATTAAATGGGCCGGATATTTCCATAGAGATATGGGAGGATTGCGCTTAAATCGCTCATCAGGAGGTTGGCAAGGTCAGTGCTCATACAGCTGCAACATGCGGTCAGCCATTGGAGTGTTTCCATACGAGGCGAAATTTCTACATATCATGCCACATTGCGGTTTGCATCGTCAAGTAACCGGAAAGCCAACAGGCTCCATGAGTGGTTGCAATTCCTGCAACGGGCAGCCAGATTAGAGGATGTCCCCGATTCGACTGGCACGTGAAGAAACTGAATGGTCGTCCGAACTCCATGTATTTATCGTCTCCGACCACCAACCCCTGTTGGAGAACCGCCATTCTATTGATATCAATGTTGGATCAACTACATTCAGATAGAAGTACCCACTCATGCCGTCGACGCGAAAGTGCGTGAACTGGAAAAATTGGTCAGTTGCAGGGTCTGCACTAAGCAATCGATTATCCATTTCTTGTGTACTTGGTGCCTAGCTCAAGAATCTCTGACAGTAGAGGGTGAGAGGCAATGGGGTTACTAATTCACATCCAACCCGTATATTGTGAATCATGACAGGAGTCTGTCGATCAAAACTCTGAAATGGGAAGGAGGCCAAGACCATCGATCCACTCGCACGACTTCCGTCTCCATAAGATGATCTGAACCCGCAATTAAACCCATTGGCACCCGTTACTGACCTGCTCGAAGACTCCTGTCGTCTTAGGGAATAGCACCGCATCAGACAAATTTTTTCGACTCAAAAAAAGGGATGGTGTTCGATTTTCTAATGGTAGATAACTAAGTGGATTTTACTTATGCAAATGTTTTCTAATTTCAATTTTATGAATATAATTCACAATCATAAAAAGTATAGAAAATATTAATACGATAATATGAATTGATTTTTTTTATATAATATATCAATTTATATATTTAAATTATCTTCTAATTGGATTTTGATTGATATATTTACATCTGTATATAATATATCATCGGATGATTTTAAAATATTATATAATTTTTAAAACCAAATAATTATGGAAATTATGAATTTGAATTTATGAAATATCAAGATTAAGTTTATTCAGATGTTTATTTGAATTTTTATCTAAAAGTATCAATCTAATTATGTCACATATCTAATAATTGAATGTATATAATTTTGAATGCATTATTTATATTATTATTTTTTATTTTTAAATCATATATATCATAGTTATGAATGAATGAAAAATATCAATGTAACAAATTTCACATATTATAGTCATAAAACATCAAGAATGATTGTACATAAAAGTTGATGGTTAGATTCATCTCATCTCCATGGCAACATTGTTCATTTCAAATATCAATGTTTTACAAAGTACCATGTTCCATCTCATTCTCTTGATTTAATCACCATCATCTCCAAGTATACTTCTAGCTATTTCAGAACTAGCGCCATTATTCGTGCACAAGACACTGTCATGCGTGCAAACGTCACCAAGAACATAGTACAACATTTTTAATCCATAACATAGGGGTGTTTTTTTAAAGTAGCGGCTAGTTATCTTTCAATTAGGGTTAATTAGCCCTCACTTTAGTATGCATAGTTCTCTGATTGGTTGATGCAATATAAGCAATTCTTTTATTGGTAGATGCAAGGTAGCACGGATGCAGTAGCATCTATAGGGTGTTGACCAATCAAACAAAAATGTATAGTAGGGTGAAGTCTAATTAGCCCTAAGTGAATGATAACTAACCTTTACCTTTTTTAATTGTTTCATTACTCTAGTGTGAATTAAAAGAGAAAAATCTTGGAGTATAATTTTTTTTTAATCAATGCATGTTCAAGCTCCACGACAGCAGCACATTCCTGCGTTTACTCCATATGCATATGAAGTATGTCTTTTCATTGACACTTGCTTCGCTTAGACTCGGGTTGAATTCATCAGTCCAAAAATTTGATCAAATGTTGAATTTGTACAATATTTTATTGATATATTTAAAGATAAAAATTATAACATATCATTTTATTATAATATTCATTTAATAGACGAAAACTTATTAGATAATAGAAATTTACTATTTTACTATTATTTAAAAAATCAAAAAATATTTTCTTGAAAAGTGAAAACATCTTAATCTCTTTTTTTCCATAATATTTATTATTTTGAAAACCGCATTTGTCATTTGAAAGATCATTGCAAAATTCAAAGTTCATCAATTTATCAACAATTGAATCTAATGATAAAATGATTATCTGAAATAATAATTATACAGCCCATATACATACTTAGTATCTGATATCAATGCGTTTTTTTTTTGAATATTATTAGATAATTCCACTCAATTAACACTAGCATCAAAGAAATCAATATCATAACATAATATTTCCATTTTCATTTTTATTGAAGATTTACATTCATTATTGCATGCTTAAAATCAATAGCCAATCTGATAGATCTTTTTAATAAAAAATATGATCTTTAAATTCTGTTCTGCAATTACATATTTTTCTGGATGTATTCAACATAAGTTGAATAAGAACTTCACTTTTCAAATTCTTTTATACTTTTCATGAATTGTACATTGTACAATTTCATATGTATTCATTAGTAGCAAATGCAAGTATAAGTGGTAGCGTTGTGACTCTACCTAAAGTCATACGATTTGCAACTAGTTGGCCGCCATAAAACTTCCAAAAATGTAATTCTCTGAATCAAAGATGAATATCTACCCGTATTTACAACAAATATCCAGTATTTTTTAAATTTTGTAACATGTAAAAAAAAAAATTTATAACTCATTGACCAGTATATGCTATACTTTTGTACGGCAGATACGTACACGGAGTAAGATTGAAAAAGCTAAGAAACCATTTATCCATTATCAAACAGATAGTCAGGGGCCACAGAGGAAGAACAAAATTGATACAGAGCTATGTATAAATTCTACAGCCAAGTACTACGCAAAACTGTAGCTGTAGTGTTGACATTTTTTATAAAAATGTCAACACTACAGTGCGATACTGAATGAGTCTTACGTCTCCGAACCGAGCTCTCGGCCTTGCAGTTAATACACTGCAACGAGGCTAGTTACACTGTCTATGCTCCTTCGTTCTCACATCTACTTGAATACATATGCCCAAACATATGTAGTCCGAGTACATCTAAATCCTACCCAGATGTGAGCACAACATTGGGTGCCCATGCCCGAACCCAGCCATGCCCATGGGTTTTGGGAGACATTATTTTTCCATGGGTCGGCACAAGTAATTCCAAGGGCAGTGTTTGTCAAGATCCAACCAAGAATTGGTGTAACTGGTTAATATACATAACAAAATTTGCTTAATTTGAATAGCATGGCTGGACACAGGTAATGCTATGGGTGAGGTTAGGTAGCTGCTGATGGTTATGGTCTGGTTTTGGTGCAGATTTGAAGTAAACTGCTGTCCTCTGGTGAGAGGACACGTCAAGGTCAGAAGATGCCGAAATAACCACAGGAAGACAAGACCAGTCTTATGAAGCGAGTACTGTGATATAAGAAATATATACTCGGCAACTCAAAACCTCATAAAGGAAACCATAAACGACACCGTTGCTACAAAACATGAATAGATGAAGAGACTTCCCATGCTAAGTTTTGTTTTCTTGCGTTGAATCATGCGAAACCAATACTCAGTGCACAGCGAGAATGAGGGAAAGCAGGAATTACGATCTTGAAAGTGCCAGATTAAAGCACGCTTTGAAGGGCCAGAGAGAGCGTGCAAGGGGAGGCTTGACCACTAGCGATAGATGAGCTGGGCCCAGGCTGTTACTGTGTGTTATCACACACAGTAACACTCTGGGCGGGACTAAAGAACAAGCTCCGTCGACGACGTCATCGCAATCACTACATCGAGTCCATGTATATAAGCCCCTGCTATGGCTGGTTTCTCAGAGCAGCAGCAGTAGAGAATTCTCTTCCGCCTCTTCTCTCTCCTTGCCCTCTGTCTCCCGTGGAGAACCGCCAGGCCACTACCTTTCTCTTCTCAACGACATCCTTTCCATTCAGATTTTGGTAGTTCATCGTAAAATCTAAAATTTGTCGGAATGGCTCTCAACAAGATGGTTTTGGGCAGGAGCACAGAGGCCACGGCTCCCGATGCCTTGAGGGCTGTTTTTGCAGAATTCATCGCGACGTTCCTCTTTGTCTTCATCGGTGTCGGCTCATGCATCGCTCATTGTGAGTGAGTTCAGCTATTTGCCAAGATACAGTGTTATGTCTTCTCAGCAGCCGTTCATTGTTTTCTGATTAAATGTCGACACAATCAGAGTAATGGTATTGTCAGGAATTTCATCTCCTTGAAAACAAGTCACACCACTAACTAAATTCTTGCTAACGTGGTCAACTCAATCTGGTGAGGCTCAAGTCCTTTACATTAGTATTTATCGAAATGATATATATCTATCCTCGTGCACAATTCCCAACTCATGGTATGTATAAGCTCTTCGATAGCTCAATATAAGTATAGCAAGACCGAGGGTTCTCTTGGGCTTGCTTGGTTATCCTCTCAGTCACGTCAATTATTATTGTGATTTGGAATGAGAAGTAAAAGAGCCCACCGACGGCGAGGTTGTATTTCTAGCTCCTGAATGGATTGGATTTACAGTCACGCCTTGTCTTTCAAAATCAAAAAGCATGCGGGCACTCTGGTCCTTCAGGTCTAAAGAAAAACGTTTCATTTTACTTTGCCTTGGGATCATGATCTATCTGAGATATCTGATTCGATGTTACGGCTCCAGGTCTTCTTTAAAAAACCCTCGC